GTCTTCCTATTCGTGTCCTGTACATCATCCCATTGCCGTTGTGGTTGTATGAGGAGTAGGGGAGGCAGCAGTATTAGCATTGAGTGTGTTAGTTCAATTGAACTAGTCACATTTCTCATGATAACTCCTTCATTTAGATCTAAACCCAAATCTGAGACTGAGTCTTCAACTCTTGGCAGTATTGCCTACAATAAGAATTGTAATTGAAAATCTAAGTTCCAAAATTACTTTTGGTTTTGCTCTGGTTCTCTCATCCTTCCCAATAGCACTTAACAGAAGTCCATATATTTTATACTCTTCTTTCTGGTTCACATCATTTCGTCCCTTTCCTTCAGAACAGTTAAGCAAGGAACTGATGTATTCCTCCATCATTTTTCCAATCATAATATTTATAATTTCTCCATAAACTTTCTTTTATAGAAAATTACATTATTGAACATAATATTATGTGAACATACTTCAGACAAATCTGGATCTAGCTGTTTTCTTTCTTCCTTCAGCTCTTCAATTAGATCTACTTTAGAATCATCATAATCAATTTTAAGTAAGATAGTTGCTCTTTTTCTTAATTGTTCCTTTTCTCGTTCCAATTCAGCCAGTCTGTTACTGATAATTTAGTAAGCCTGAATTGATGTTGTTTTGTACGCATACCTTTTTTGATGACTAGTTGTTTTGTGCACAGATGTTTCTTGATGGCTAGATCTATTGTTTGGTATGAGAGGTTTTCTTCTGTTCAAAAATTATACAAACATTTAATTAGATTAATTAAACTATCTTACTCTTCAGCGTTCCCAAATTCACAAGGACAGCAGCAGCAACAGTTGTCTACTAAACATTCTTTAAAACTAGCAATTGCTTCGGGAATTCCATTTGTCCATTCACAACAGGAACCACAATCAGAACAATCACAGCATTCATCAGATTCAGAACAGTCACAGCAACACTTTCTTTTTTTTAAAGTCGACCACCAATCTTTCAAGCCACAAGTTAGGTTAAAGTCACCCATTCCCGCCATTGGACTGATTGGAGTGAACTATTCTTGAAATTGTCTTCTTCTTGCTTCACTAGTTGCTTTACGACATGTAGATCTAGAGGGCGGGTAGAGCTAGTTATAAATTTTACGAGTTTAGATTATTCTATGAATTGAATTTAAGCATGTCCATTCAATTCCAAGAACTGTTTTGATTCCTAGTACTACAATCTAAACCATTGCCAGCGACAAACAATTCCTAGAATTGAGCCTTTGAGTGATTTCATGAGAATCAGAAACTT